CTCCAGCACCTACATAAAATCCATACATGGGGGCTAAAGAAATGGCTTGGATTTAAGAGCACTGGCTGCTTTTCCAGAGGACCTGGGTTTGATCTCCAGCATCAAATGTCAGCTCAGAGCCACCTGTAACTCCAATTCCAGGGACCTCACACCCTTTTCTGGCCTCTGTGGGCACCAGGCACACATGTGGTACAAACATTCATTCAGACAAAACACCCATACACAAAATAAATACACACACATATACATATGTATACACACACATACATACACCAGACATACACACCACCACTACCACAACCAACAAAAACCCTGGTGTGGCTATGTGTACTTGTAACTTCAGTGCTGGGGTTGCTCCATGTCAGTCCAGCTGCAATAGTGAGTGCTAGGTTCAATGACAGACTCTGTCTCAAAGAAAAATGTTGAAAGCAACTGATGAAGTAACCCCAAAGTGGACCTTTGGCCTTCAAATGTTCAGGCACACAAACACACACCTAACAACACAAAAGGAGGGATAATGTGCTCATCTAACATGCTCACCCGCACACACGTACATGCCTTGGTGGCCTCAGACCCAGGGGTGTGGTGTGCATAACACGCGCTGGAGGGTTTCTTATTAAACATTTTTTTATGTGACTTTGACAAATACGGTTATGGGCTATAAGAATTCAAAAAGGTCCCAGAAAAGCCTGTTGAGGAGCACTTTCCTCTCAGATTCCATCCTGCAAGGAAGCTAGTTCCTTAACACACAGGATGCCAAAAGGAGGTGAAACAACGGGATCATCTCAGGGAGATGAAACTTCCCAACCTACAGGAAGCTCCTCAAACTCAGGAAGAAAACAACTCCATAGCTTCAGGAAGACTAACACCCGCTGGCTTTACTGGGCCCAAGAACCACAAGCTGCAAGGAGTGCTGAAACTCTTGGACAAGCCCAGCTGCTTGAAAGCTGCCTGTGAGGCTCAGACCAACTGACCTGGAAAGGGAATTCTCCAACCTGGTGAGCTGGCTACAGGCTGTGCAGTGTGCTCCATATTTCCAGCTTTTGTCAACGGTCACCCATGCTGGGGTGAGCTTTGGTGATTCAGCTGTCTTTGCATCATTTCTGCTCCTGTAAGTAACCCGTCACCCATATTCATGTAGGCAACCCTCATACAGCTCTTTGCTTCACCAAGTTGGACTTTGGTGGTATCTGTACTTTTGTCTGTCATTCCCTATCTGTGATGTTCATGTCTCCCCAGGAATACTATTACACTACCACTTTGTAGGACAGGAAGTAGGAAATCGTGGGGGACTGGGCAGGCTGAAAGTAAAAAGCCTCCTCACCCACACAAAGCAACCAACACTGGGGCCCTGGAGGATGCATGGTGGTACTATCACACCAGGAAAGCCAAATAGCTTCCAACTTTCTGAGATACCAACAACCAGGCCTGCAAAGCTCATTCCTCCTCCTGGGGGACACATCTGGAGAGACAAGGTAGCCTGCCACAACAGGACCATGGCTAGGTCAAGGGGCACTGAGGTCTCCGAAGCCAAATTTCTGTAGGCTGTTTGGCTCTTCATCTCCCACAAAGGCTATGAGTGGTGAGGTTAAAATGGGGTTGTGACACATTCAAAGGACAGAATATGCTATACATGTGGATCAGACTCAGAATACTTTGTTGAGAGAACTACAAAGCCACAGAGATGGAGAGCCTCTCAACCACTGCTCAGAACCAAAAACCAAGTAAAAATAACTGCGCTGAATAACAAACAAGCTGCCTGGGAATACTAGCAGGAGAGGGAATCAGGGGTCATGGCCATGGGCATCTTCAGCATCACCATCTTCAAGCTTTCAAAGTAAAATATTAAAGCAAATACTCACTTTAAATACTAAAACCAGGACTGGTGAGATGGCTTAGCTTAGCAGGTAAGTGTGGCTGCCACCAAGACTGACCCTCAAGGGGACAGTTGACTCCTGCAAGGTGTCCTGACATATTAACATGTGTTTGCAATGACACAAAGATTTATAAACCAGTGACTTTGAGCAGTATGTCGTCTCTGGTAGTCCTACCCCATGGAGCGACCCTGAGCCTATGTGGAGCAGCACAAGAACCCCTGGGTCCCCAGTTTTCCTCATACTCAAGTGGTTCAGGGAAGCTGAGGCCCAGTTAAGTTGTTTGTTTTTTTAAAGATTTATTTATTATGTATACAACATCCTGCCTCCATGTATGCCTACACACCAGAAGAGGGCACCAGATCTCATTACAGATGGTTGTGAGCCACCATGAGGTTGCTGGGAATTGAACTCAGGACCTCTGGAAGAACAGCAGTCAGTGCTCTTAACCACTGAGCCATCTCTCCAGCCCCCCCAGTTAAGTTCTGTAACGAGTACTGGGCCCCATTGGAATGCTGTGTCTCTGGACCACTACCCTCCAGTCCAAGCTCTTGATGGCTGGTTCCTTGTAAGCTGATAGCATCTGGCCTCAATCAATGAAGAGGCAGAACTTGCCCATCATCATCCCTAGTTCACCTTGACCAAGGGAACTCTTTCTGGTCGCATAACACAAAATTAACAAGAATGTTTTCAGTCACAGTGGGTGGGGCTGGTTCAAAACAAAAACAAGTTTATTCTGGAAGATCCATTTTTGTTGATTAATCAAAAAATGGTACCAGGTGGTGGTGGCCCACAACTTTTCTTTTGTTAGGTAAACTGGTATCGTGCCTACATGTATGTCTGTGTAAGGGTGTCAGATCCCCTGTAACTGAGATCCACTGGAAGGGCAGCCACCACTCTACACCACTGAGTCATCTCTCCAGGCCTTTAATCCCAGCACTTGGGAGGCAGAGGCAGGCAGACCTCTGAGTTCTGAGTTCTAGGCAATCCTGGTCTACAGAGCAAGTTAGTTCCTGGACAATCAAAAAGCCTGTCTTCAAAAACCAAAAAAAAAAAAAAAAAAAAAAAAAAAAAAAGGTAAGACACCAGGATGTATTCCCAATGTTTCAGAAGTATAGCAGTGATTGGCCTGCTCCATACAGGAACTCCTGCAATCCAGAGCTGTGTCTGTTCCTTTGTTCTCAAGAACTCCTTGGGCCAGTTGCCTGATCCTGGCCAGTGACACAGCTCAACTCAGAGGAAAATAACCATTCAGCTAGCCTGATGACATAGGCCTGTCATCCCAGCTACTTAAGAAGCTGAGCCTGGAGGATCAAGAAGTCTAGGCCTGCTTGGGCTACAGAGTTGAAGGCACACTGCCTCAAAATTCTAAGTTAAAAAAGGCTGTAGTGTATCTCAAAGGTAGAGCCCTTGCCTAACATGAGAGATGTCCTGGGTTCCATCCCCAGCAGCACAAAAAACATTAAAAACTAAAACCAGTTAGTGTATCAATCATTAGGTAGTCACTTCTACGTGTAAAAATTTTTTCCCCCTGAGACAGGGTTTCTCTGTATAATAGCCTTGACTATTTTGTAGACCAGGTAGACCAGGCTGGCCTAGAATTCAGACCCACCCACCTCTTCTGTGATTAAATGCATGGGCACGGTGCCTGGTGCCTGGCTATAGATTTTTAACTAAATGATAAAGGAAGTACCTTTCCAATATAATTAGAGTTAAAAAAAAAAAAGACACTCTGGACACTGCGATGAAACCAGATATAGCCAGACTGGTTTGTATTTATAGCATCAGGTTTAGTACACAGAAAATTCCCCAACAAGGCTGCCCTGTAGATAACCGGCAATTAGAGCGAAGACTGTATCTTTGTTAAGCTGACAGTCGGTGACTAAAGTCCCTGCTCCTAATCCAGGCCACCCAGCAGATAAATCAAATGGCAAGTCTTTGAAACTAAGGATGCCAGGGCTCACCCCTCACCTGCCAAGGTACTGGACGGAGCAGTGTTATGGAAGGAAATACTGCGGGGCTGGTCTCTTTGATGGCTTGGAAACTCCCACATGTGGCCTTGATCACAAGTCCTTTACCAGGCTCACTCTGGGCACGTGGGGACAAAGTGGGAACTGTCCTCAAACGTAAACAAGCATGAGCACTAATAAGAGTCTTCAGCCCCGCACAGGGCTTCAAAGCAGTGAGGCCACTGTGGAAGGTGTCGCACGCTGTCACGGCAGCTTCATCCAGCCCATAGAAAACACCATGCCAGGATCAAGCTGGAGGGGGATGACTGTGGGGGTTGTCCCACAGTGCACGGGGAGCCTAGGTGACAGGGACGTAGCTGGCAAAATGTGCAATTGGCATTGTACCGCTATGCAGACACAATAATGAGCACTTTCCACTCCTTTTACTGTAGACCTAAAACTAGCCTAAAACAAACAAAGCCGAGTGAAACAAAAAGTAGGTCTGAGGGGCGCAGAGGCTAAACCCACACCACGAACACGGCACAGGAATGTTGCGATCTCGCAGTCAGGAATGAAGGTCGAAGAGGGGATTGTCAGCAGGCAGAAGCACTGGGGCAGGAACCTGGAATCAACCCTGCAGATGGCCTCGGGCTGGCCCACGATGTCTGCCTATGACCACACTTAAGCCGGTTGTGCCACTCCAGTCACTGGCCACAGACAGGAGGACAAGGAGAAACTACTCTGAGGACAGGACCTGATTACCGACGGGAGGCTCCACACAAGGGGAGGCCAGGCAAGAAAGAGGGTGGGCTAGGAAGAAGGAATGGCGGGAAGAGAGGCCTATAAGGAGGGAGGAGGCCTAAGAGAGAGTAGAGAGGCCCGGGGAAGGGGAAGCCAGAGAAGTTGGAGGGGGAAGGACACCTGGAAAGGGGAAGGAAAGATGGGGAAAGGACAGCGCAACGAGGAAGGTAGGGACCCTGAGAAGCGAGGCCGAGAGAGGAGGAGGGGGAAGCCAGGTAGGGAAGAGGAGGCCCTGCCGAGTAGTCCAAGCCCGCCGCCCCCGCTCCGACCCGCGACAGGCAGCCTCGCGAGCCAATGAGGATGCGGGGCGCCACAGACCAGCCAATGAGCAGCAGCGGAGGCGGGGCCTCGGCGCCAAGCCACCGCCCGCGCCCACCTGAAGAAGAGGGTCCGGTACATCTGGTGCGCCTCGTAATAGTCACCCTTCTCGACGCTGGCACGCAGCTTGCCCTCCACGCGCTGGACGCCACCGCGGTTGCGGGCGCCGTTGCGGGCACCCTCCTGCTCTGCCATCGCCGCCGCCGCCGCCGCCATGGGCCGGCGCTCCGCGCAGAGCTGACGCTGTCGCAGGCGCGGTCGGCGGCGCCTCCCGGCTTCCGTCCCTGCGGCCACCGCACGCCCTCTACGGTGGCCGCGAGGAGCCTCGTGAGGGCGGGCGCACCGTGGTCCGCACGTGATCATGGGCGGAGCCTCGGACTCTGGCGGGATCCTCCAGTGTCACACGAGGCCACACCCCCCGGCGGGTCTGCAAAGGACCTTGCTAGCATGGGCGGGGAAGAAGCGGACGGGGTGTGGTCCGCGAGCTAAAAAGCATCCCGGAAAAAAAGTGCTAGTATTCACGCGAGAGCGGGCGGGACCAAGGTCTTGGACGGGGCTACACTCCAGTCGTGTGGGGTGTGTATGTGTGCGGTCACTGTATAATGTTACCAGCCGCGTAGGCTGCGCACGTAAACTGGGCCAAAGGACGCCGCAATGCGCCCCTGAAATTGCCCTGAGCACGTGGACACATTTTAGGACATTTGACCTGCTTTAAACCTACCTGCCCGGGAAGGTATTGGCACACGCCTTTAATCCCAGCACTTGGGAGGCAGAGGCAGAGGTAGGCGGATCTCTCTTGAGGTCGAGGCCAGCCTGGTCTACAGGCACCAAAGCTACAGAGAAACCCTGTCTCGAGAAAAAAAAAAAAAAAAAAAACCTGCACGGGAGTGCACCTCCTAGCAGCAGTCATTCTGAGTGACATCAGGAACTGGGCAGTATGATCAGGCTAGACCAAGAGAGTCCAAGAAGACCTAGTCCTAATTGGTTGAAGCAGGTCACTGCAGGGAAGGGGAGGCCTAGGCATGATGAACTGGGAGGATGGGTGTTGGACACGGTGAGTGTCATCATCTGACAGCATCCTTTAAGACTCAGGTTATAGATTACACAGAACCTTAAAAAAATGATTTTGCGTGCTGGAGATCAAATTCAGGACCTCCACTCTTGCTTAGTCACTGAGCTACAATTTACCTTGAAATCGGGTCTCTAAAGTTTCTCAAGTTGGCCCTTAACTCCTGCCTCAACTTCCTTACTATCATGATTCTATGCCAGTTGGACGGGCATTTTATGCAAACACTCCTGTGTATTCTGGAAGCATGGCAACAGATTAACAAGTCCATGCTTACTCTTCTGTGATGGCAGATTATGCTCAGTGGGCACAACCACGTAAGAACCACATGGGCACAGCAATACACTTGCTAGGTGACGAAGGGGCAAGTGATACAAGCAGCATGAGTGTGATACCAGGGGACTACTTGTCTGGATGGGATGGAGTGGTGCAATTTGTTATAAATTCTTTCTGGAATTGTCCCCCAGACAGGGTATCTCTACTATGTTGCTCTGGCTGGCTGCCCTGGAGCTTTCTGTGTAGACCAGGCTGGACTTGAACTCACAGTGATCCACCTGCCTCTGCCTCCTGAGTGCTGGGAGTACACACCACTCCTGGATGACATTCTCTAATATTTTTAGATCCCAGTTGACAGCAGGTACCCAAATCAGGAGAGCAAAGCCCTGATAACAGGACTCTTATAAAAGAAAACAAAAAGCCTGGCAGTGGTGATGTGCATCTTTAATCTCAGCACTCAGGAGGCAGAGGCAGGTGATCTCTGAGTTTGAGGGAGAGAGAACTAACAACAGGAATGCCTATGAACTGAAGATATCAAATCAGTGTGACACTTCTGTACACATGGTGGAAATCAGAGCTGTTAAAAGGTATGACAGATGCTCCAAAATATATTTGACAGGCTGTGGAGTATGGTGCTCTAAAGATGAGACCTAGGGCCTTGTGCCTACCCTCTTCTAGACTGGACTATCTCTGAGCAGACTCCCCTAAGCAGGAAGAAGATGGAGGCTTTGGAGGGCAGTGGGAATACCTCCAGGACTCAGCAGGAACTCTCAGAGCACACAACCTAACAATCCCTCCTCACCCACATGGGCAGAGATAAGACAAGCTGAGAAAAGAAATACACTTTTATTATTCACTTGAAATAGCACATGCACTTTTAAAAATTATAACTCTTTTATTTAAACATCTCAATAGCATCTTAATTTGGTGGCAGTATAAGTACTACCAAAGACAAATGTTCTGAAAAGCATTTACAAAAATACATTGCACAAAGTCCTATCTTGCGTCTTTAAAAATAAATATTCAAAATATCTCCACCCCCAAGTCCCAATTTAGTTTAATATAGGAAATTATGCTTCTGCGTGTAACCTGCAGTATGCAAAATGTGTGCATATCACCTGACCACACAGGCAGTGGTGCTAACCCTACAGAGTGGGATGTGCTACTTTGGGGCACTGTATCAAGGACTGCCTGCAACATGCACTAAATCCCAACTCCGAGCCCCAGCAAGTGAGTTTGTGTTCTGTGAAGACCTTCTAACCTGAAACTTAACAATTCTTTATGTAAACCGTCTGAACACTTCAAGTGTCCAGATGATCAGTTATAAAGGCTGCTCACAAAATAATCTAAATATTAAATATTAATTATAACCAAATTATAACCAGTCAGGTGAGAAGGTCCAATAATGGTGCAGAGGCAAACCCAAGAGCAGCAGAAAGTGCTGCTGTGAGAAAGACCAAGAGCGACAGGCATCAGCACCACCAGATAGGGTGGCACCTTAGTGTTCCCTCTTCAGCAGAGCCTAACACAGATCAAGGACACCAGAGGGTGACATCAAGAGGTTCCTGTCCGTACTGTGAATGAATCCCACCAGTAATGGCCCAGCTAAGACTCAAGAATGCCATTTATAGTGTGTGTATCCCCACTGCCCTGTTGAGTCTCGCCCTCAGCAAAAGTCCAATCCACTCCTCTGGGGAATGGTAAGAGCCCCAGCTAAGAGCAGACAGCCCAGGACATACCCAGCCTCTCCCCACCAGGGAACTTGGAAGAGATCAGATGAAGATGGAGCAGCAGTTTTCCCTGAAAGACATGTGTGGGTTTAGCAGATGGGACTTTGCCTTCCTGACATCTAGAGGAGAGCCAATGCAGAGCTTTTGGCCTCCATGTCAGGAGCCTGGAACCTGCCAGATTCTGTTTTCTGATTTTATGCATTGAAGCAAATCCCCAAATCAAAGGGAGTGTCTAAGAACCATACATTCAAATGAATCCACAGAGCCCATCAGGCTTTTGGGCCCTGAGCACACACACACAGCCTCAGAGGACCCAACGTGTCCTCATGGCTATCACACATTTATTGAAGGGTGACAAGTTCCTATGCTCACGTGCACTCTTCTCCAAAGGGTTCCAGTGTTATGGTGTCTTGGTATATACAGACATGTACAAGGCTGGAGTGCTCTACTGGGCAGGTTCTCCATGGACTCGGAAGCGGTAGAGGCAGGTGTACTCAGGGTGGCCCCAGTTGGACAGAACCCGGAGCTCTACTATCTGGAAGGCTTGGTCAGGTCTTTCCTGAAGTCAAGGAAATAAGTTATTTTGCATTAGCAGTCAGATCCTTCTTACCCCACCCCTGACCAATCCCTTGCCCTGTGGGATATGTGATAAGATGCAGCCATACCCTGCCTGACCTAGGAGGTAGTTGGGACTTAGGGCAGCATAGACTGCCTGCCATGTTTGACCTTTCACTGAGGCACAGAGCTGGACCATGGCTGATCCTCACCACCCTCTCCACATGCCTGGCCCCACAAAGACATGAATGAGGGAGGCACGATCCTTGTGCTTACCAGTGTGTGGAACATCTGGAGCGAGTCCCCTTCCTGGTCATAGGTAAACCGTCCCAGAGGCTGCCCTTCTTCCTGATACTCCGTTTCCAGTCCCTGCAATGATAATGTGTTACAGCACAGATAACAGAGTCACCACTCCAGCCCTGCTCCCCTGAGTGACAGGTCATCTCCCCTGAGAGAGGCCCTCCCTGGAGAAGTACACTGTCACTGGCTTTCTATAACCCACTATCCAAGGGCAGGTGTGGTTACTCCCATTAGAGAAACTTGCACACAGCCACACAGAGGCCAGATCAAGATGGCCATGACCATGCTCAGTACCCCCAAAGCCCAGATACCCTCATGAGAACTCCTGTGCAGATTCTGGGTGCCCCAAGTAAGGGACATAAGCAGCATATGAGCAGCAGGTAGGCTGAAGCAGAGTGGGAAGTTCTGTGGACAGATGGTTGTCGGGGGTGAGCAACAGTGACCACCCCTGAGGCTTCCACATGACATTTAGATATGCTTAAAATGATGTGTTCTACATTAGAGAAAATATAAAGAACTTTATAATGAGAAAGGGCTTCACAGGCAATGAGTAGGTGCTAACTACAAAATGGAGAGTAACAACAGGACTCTGTGACAGTGACACACAACTAAGAAAGGTGGTGAGTTCCAGAAGCTACAAGAGAGCAATATGGCAGAGAGAGGGGTGGGGAGGGAGGTAGGCAAACAAGCACTGTGCACAACTGCCAAAGGGCCTTAATTATGCCCTCAGGAGCATATACAACAAGACCATGTGCCTCAAGGGCTGCTGTTGTAGTTCAGTTAGCAGAGCCTTTACCTAGAAATCATCAGTGAGGAACTGGGGGCATGGCTCCATTGGAGACCACCTGCCTAGACTCCCCCAGTGAGCAGCTGGGGTGTGGCTCAGTGGTAGAGCACCTGCCTAGAATCCTCCAATGAGGGGCTGGGGTGTGGCTCAGTGGTAGAGCACCTGCCTAGAATCCCCCAGTTGATGGGCTGGGGTGTGGCTCAGTGGTAGAGCACCTGCCTAGAATTCCCCAGTTGAGGGGCTGGGGTGTGGCTCGGTGGTAGGGCACCTGCCTAGCATTCATGAGGCCTTGGGTTCCATCCTCAACAATGCAAAAGAAAAATGTACTTTATCTTTTAGCATTTTCCACTTCAGTACCTTACAGCTGTCAGAGCATAAGTGGACAGATGAAGTAATGACTACAATCCTCGGAAGTCAAGTATGTCTAACTCAAGCTGCTATCAGGGCACATGAACTGAACAGCAAACACACTGCCATGCTACTACTGCATTATGACATTCCTCTAATGCTGACTTAGAAGGGAAAAGGGATAGGGTCAAGGATTGCCCGGGAAAAACACTCAGAACATTAGCCTTAGGATAAATG